GCTCGTTCGCTGCGCTCACTTGCCTTCAGATTAGCTTGTTCACTACGCTAACTCGCCTCCAGGTTGAAGTTTGTTCGCTACGCTCACTCACCTTTTGGTTGCAAATTAGCTGTTGTCATAAATTAAAAAAAAATAGTGCTGCACCCTGTTGGTATACCTATTAACTTTTTAATGCTATTGAACATCACAGAATCAAATTTTTTAGTTGAACCAGCTGTTTAGATTCTTTAATTCCATTTAATATGAGTACTCTTAAGGTTAACATGCGGAAACTCCAGAGCCCCTCGGGTGGAGCCCTTTTGACGGATCTGCACCAAACTTCACATAAACCATCCTTGAATAATGCTTAATAATTCCTGAAAGTTTCATTACAATCTGTCGAGTGGTTTCGGAGTCCATAAAGGACAAACAAACAAACAAACATACATTGGATTTTATATACAGGGTGATTTGTACTCAGTGTGACAAAATTTTTTTGATGTAAGTACAAAGTAAATGAAGTGTGATGATGCATATCAAATGTTCCGAGTCTCAAAATTAGCGTCCCAAAAAATTATTTTATGTTTTTCAAAAATAACCATGCTTTTAAACTTAATACGGCGATTTCTCAATTACCTGTATATGGTTTTGAGTAGATAATGTCATTTTCGTGTTCTACGTTAAATTTTGGACAAGAATAATGGAAAATGGCGGAGGATCAGTTGTAAAAACTCTATTGTAAATAGATTCAAAGATAAAAATTAAGATATTTGATAAAAATTTTAAAAACAATGGTCCATTGCATTTTTCACACCCTGTATACAAGAAAGTGTCGGAATATATTAAAAACTGCGCCATTTTATAAGCTTTCCAACCATATGCTACACTATTGAGGTTTAGATATTTTTTTGCTTGTTTTAGTGGTTTGAATACCAGAAAACAAGGAACTTTTTTACTGTTTTTACTGTTCAAGCTGAATCAAAAATACAACTTTTGCTTAATACATGCCGACTTTCTATGTTTTAAATGTTAAAGACACCATGCTTTGTAGTCTTCAAACCATTAAAGCGTACATAAGCAGATATAAACCTCAATAGTGTAGCATATCGTTGGAAAGCTTATAAAATGGCGCAGTTTTTAACATATTCCGACACTTTCTTGTATACAGGGTGTGAAAAATGCAATAGACCATTGTTTTTAAAATTTTTATCAAATATCTTAATTTTTATCTTTGAATATATTTACAATGGAGTTTTTACAACTGATCCTCCGCCATTTTCCATTATTCTTGTCCAAAATTTAACGTAGAACACGAAAATGACATTATCTACTCAAAACCATATACAGGTAATTGAGAAATCGCCGTATTAAGTTTAAAAGCATGGTTATTTTTGAAAAACATAAAATAATTTTTTGGGACGCTAATTTTGAGACTTGGAACATTTGATATGCATCATCACACTTCATTTACTTTGTACTTACATCAAAAAAATTTTGTCACACTGAGTACAAATCACCCTGTATATAGATAGCATTCTGTAAATAAAAAAAATATCATGAAAAAAACCAACAACATTTCAGATATTTTCATTACTACATCTTTAAGATATTCTTTAGATAAACATATTCTTTAGATTCGTCCCAAGACATCAAGAGAGTTATCAAGATTCCTTTTCTTTAGTTCGCTGACGATATAAAACTGTTTGTAGAAAGTTTCTTCCCTCCATGATTTTGAATCCTTCCTTAGAGCTATTAATGATGTCTCAGCTAAGACTTGACCAAAGATGATGTTGAATCCCACTAAGAATAAGTTCACAATTTTTAGCGTTAAATAAAATTCTCTGGATATTGACTATTTTCTAGATTCTTATTGACACGTCATATGAGTTTGGGCCAGACATTCACCACATCTGTACCGAGACCTTTGGCATTCTCGAAATGATCTGCTCTGCAATACACTGTTTGAGCATCCATGCTGAACCATGCCTGCTAGATCCAGTATAATTTGTATGTGCGGCAACAATTAGGGTACTACTGTGTATTCTGGTCGCCTTTACCAGTGCAGCCTTTTTCACTGTCTTTGTTTCGTCCCAATACGGGAAGAATGAGCGTACGCCTAGTATATGTATCATTTTTTTTTTTCCTAGGACACTAGGCACGAGCCCGGAATTGTTTTTCACATTACTTCAGGCTAGACCTAGGGGTTACGGCATTACTACTTAGATAAAATCCATTGATGATTTGGCGGAATTTGAACCCATGACCCCAGGAACCGGAGTCCCGCGCTCTAACCACTAGACCAGCTCGCTCCCCAGTATATGTGTCGATTAGCACAATATAACTTGAGCAAAAATTATCCGATTTTGATGGAATTTGGTATAAACATGTAAACCTACATTTATTCGAACGAGTTCACTAACCAGCGTGATTGGACTATGGGAACGGGGGTTTTTAGGGGGTTTTAAGGGGTAAAAATTGGTTTTTCCCATTTTCCAAAAAGAAAAAAGAAACTGTTGTAGTTTGCTTGTTTATGTTGTAGTTTATGCTTGAATATTTTGATCAAATTTGGAAGATGCATTCATATCATACTAAACTATTAACATTTGGAAAAAACCAATTTTTTACACTCCCTGTATGTTGCATCAAACCTAAGTACTCGTTAAACTAATTCTATTTAAATATGGAATAAATGTGATATTTTTAATTAAGGAGACATTTTAGTGTAAATCCAATCGAATCAGGCAAATAGAAATTCGCTTAGTCTGCAGGTTTGCTGTTGCAGGGGTATTTAAAGATACGATTCCCTCAGATTTATTTTGATGTTAAAAGTGTTTTTTCTTCTAATTCAAACCACTTTAACACTTTTTTTTACTAAACATAGATATACAGGTAAGTAGTTTAGTAAAAAGTCTGAACACCCCCTGGCCCATACTAGAAAAACTAAACTCGGCACACCTTTATGGCATGTTATGAAACACTTTTTGGGCATAAACGCCACTTGGTGTACATCTGGTGGAAACTCAAAATTTTAAAAGTTAAGCCCCATCGAGTGACCCCTCATTTAGAAGATCCTGGTAAAAGAAAACCAACAACACAAACTAGAGGTCTCTATCTCAATCCAGTAAAAAATTGCAGCTGATTGAAATATTTAGAAATCAGAATTAACTTGCAATTTTATATTCAACTAGCCGTACCCGCGGGCTTTGCCCCGCTTAACTTCATAAGTATTCGCAAGGCTCAATCACGTCCTGGTTGAAGTTCATTCGCTACGCTCACTCACCTTCAGGTTGAAAATCGATCGCTGCGCTCACTTGTTTTCAGGTTAGTTCGTTCGCTACGCTTACTCGCTTCCAGGTTGATGTTCGTTCGCTACGCTCACTCACCTTTTGGTTGCAAATTAGCTGTTGTCATAAATTTTAAAAAGTCATCCCTTTTATTGTTTACTAGCTGTAACCCGCGGGCTTTGCCCCGTTTAACTTCTTAATTTTCAAGATTATCTCGTTCGCATGGCTCAATCACGTCCTGGTTGAAGTTTGTTCGCTACGCTCACTCACCTTTAGGTTGGAGCTCGTTCGCTGCGCTCACTTGCCTTCAGGTTAGCTCGTTCGCTACGCTAACTCGCCTCCAGGTTGAAGTTCGTTCGCTACGCTCACTCACCTTTTGGTTGCAAATTAGCTGTTGTCATAAATGTAAAAGAAATAATAGTGCTGCACCCTGTTGGTAATCCTTGTAACTTTAATGCTATTGAACATCATAGAACAGAACCAACTTGTTTAATTGAAACAGCTGTTAAGATTCAATAATTCCATTTCTCATAAGGTTAACATGGGAAACTCCAGAGCCACTGGGGCGGAGCCCGAAAGGATTTTTGAAATAAGAATATGCCTATATGTTAATCGGGAATGTGAGCTATCATCATGCCAAATTTCAGCCCAATCCGACCAGTATTTTTCGAGTTTACTTTTCCCATACACACATACACACATACAGCAACCACCTCTTTTTTATAATAGTATAGAAGATAAACTTTGATAAAGGTTTAATATTTAACATTAAAGAATTTAAACGTTGTTGAGTGCACAGGTGTGCTGCGATTGGGGTTTAATACATTTGGACTTATTAAAAAGTAAATAGTTTGCTGTGCTGCACTCTGTAGAAACACTGTGGCACTATTTCAAATCATGACTAATGCTAATACAGAATGTTGTGATTATTCAAACCTACAAAACAGTTGGTGAAAGTAAACATCTGCTTTTAAATTATATTTATTTGTAAACATTGTAGATCAAAAAGTCTGACATTGGCCCACTTAAAACCCTCTAGGGCAGAGCCCTTTTGACGGATCTGCACCAAACTTCACTCGAACCATCCTTGAAAGATGCTTAACAATGCCTGAAAGTTTCATTACAATCTGTCTAGCGGTTTCGGAGTCCATAACGTATACACACACACACACACACACACACACACACACACACACACACACACACACACACACACACACATACATACATAGTTCCTCTTTTATAGATATAGATTTGCTGCCGTATTTTACTGTGTTAAGATAGAGACCTCTTTTTTGCGTTACTAGTTTTCTTTTATCATGACCTTCAAAATGACGGGTCACTCGATCGGTCTTAACATTTGAAATTTTTTAGTTTCCCCAAAATCCCTTATTTTGGGGATGTACACCAAGTGGTGGTTATGCCCTAAAAGTACTTCATAACATGCCATAAAGGTGTGCCAAGTTTAGTTTTTCTAGTATGGGCAGTTAAAAAATTAACAGGGGGTCTCCAGACTTTTTACTAACCCTGTATATTTGTAAACTATTACTTGTTCTATGTCACTTACTATATTATAGTACTTCACACTTCCCTATAAGGAAATTTGCTAAAATGCCTGAACTTTTACGTTTTTACGAATTCAGCAAAATTATAGATTTTTTTAAAATTGTGTTTATGGAATGAGTTTACTTACCATGTTAAGAAAGCTAGAAATTGACAAAACAAGAGTACAACTGATAAAGGGTAATTGTAATTATTTATCTCACAACAGAATTACAATCTTAGCTGATGATTCTAAGCTGCCACTTCTGGAATCTCTAGGTGTTGTCGGGCAAGATGAAATGCTCCAACCAAAGCACTCAGTTGCAAATTTTCTGGTGTTCCAGAGGTAAGGCGGTACTCAATGTCTGCTAATTTGACCAACAACTCTGAGAGGACGTCAGCAGGCAGTTCCACTGAAAGTTTAACAAGCTTTTTGTATTTATGTCCTAGAATGAGTCAATGGTAGTCCAATACAATATCTTTATAAGTATTTTACATCCTTGCAAAGAAATTAATTAGATGTACAAAAATCCGAGTCAACCAAAACGGTTCAATAAAATAATACCGGGCTAAAATATAAGTAATACGGTATGTAATGTAAAATGCTTTAGTAACTTCAGTTGTTTAGTTTAAAGTATTTTTCCTACACAGGGGTGCCCATCCCCCCAAAGGCTTATGACTCAAATCCCCCCCCCCCAAAAAAAACTGATCAAGAAACCCCCCCCCCCCCTTACAAATCAGTCGTAGAGTTCTGGGTTCAACCCATAAATCAAGTACACTTTAATCGTTCAGTAGCTTGTACATTTACCCACTTACCACTGATTATTGAAACAAAACATCTATATATTTAATACGATAGGCATATTTTTGTCATAATTGTTTTGGAGTGATGGTGCTACCGATCACCATGTCCAAGGTGTCGTTAGAAAGGTCTTAGCATGTAGTTTTGCCATCAATCAAAAAAACTTTGGAATTCCATCAGGGCTCTGCCCAGTGGCCTTCAAAGTTCCCATGTTATTCTTAGGGAGAAAATGTTTGTTTACATTTGAACAGATGAATACTTTGAAATTGACACTAATATTTGAAACAGCTGGTTATATTAAAATTTTGCACAAAATCAAAAAATAACCAAAAAAAGTTCGACATAATGGATACTATAAGACGTTGACCAGGACGGCCAATAGGAGGAGGCCGACGAACTTTAACTGGTAGACGCGATGGAAATACAAATGATACCATTGTCGTTGATAGCCGAATACAGCAAGCACCCTTCCGTGTTGGGTTTAAGTGTGCTCTCCAACAGCCGCCTGAAGATTTCACATTCAATTTAGGACTGTTGGATAATCGCTGCATAAGCTGTTGATTTTGGAAGACAAGGAGGTGGGTAGGACTACATCGGAAACAGAAGAAAGGAGATATTAGATGAGTGGCAAAAGCGTTGGGAGCAGAGTGGTTTATGTTAACGTTTTAAAGGTAAACGTTCGGATATATACCTAACATCAGAAAGAGACTGGAACAAGATTGGGAGATGGACCATTATGAAACGCAGTTTGTCACAGGACATGGAAAATTTCAAGGTGAATTTGTAGAGATTTCACCTGGTGGAAAGGAAGTATGTAGATGTGGAGAAATAAAAACCACGAGTCACGTATTTATACATTGTTCACTTCAGGAGACAAATAGGAGAGAACAGGAAGATGTCTTGGATAAAATAGGTCTAGAGATGAGAAAATAAAACATGATGAGTGACAAGGACACATTTGAGACGTTTAGAAAACTAGCTAGGGAAATAGGAAAAATCAGGGATACATACAGGCGTTAAAATAAAAAAAAGAAACAAACAAAAACTAAGAAAGAAAAGGAATGAAAACTTGCCCATGAAGGGGAGAGGAAAGGTTAGAGCGAATTTCAAAAAATGATCCCTATCGCTCAGGGCGGTATGGGGAAGTGAGTCGTGCTGTTAGGCTTTTGGACACATAATGTGTCTGGAAATATATTGCTGCTATGTGTAAGGCTATTTGTAGAAAATGTTAATTATATCGATCTGTTATGTGCATCTTGAGTATTTCCATAATCTTTGAGCTGAATATGTTAAAGTCATCAGAAATTATGACTGTTATTCGTTTTAAAATGAGGCCTGTAATACTTAGCAATTGCTCGAATTCGAGCAACAGGTACACTATTAATAGTTACAAACACATTGGCTAAATAAACTAAAAAATAGTATATCATTTTCAGTTGGTGCTAGAAAAAAAGTAAATTATAAAAAATTAAGTTTTATAAAATGTTCTTTAGTTGAATTGAAGCCAATGTTTAGTAAACACTCAATCTATCGAGGAAAGGTAATATCAGTTGCATAATGAGTTAATTTAAAATATAGGAGTAACACATTTTGCCTAACTACTAGTAGTACTCAACTCAGTGCATTCCAAAGTAACCATGCAAGAAACATACGTAAAAAATGCTACAAATTTGTTCAATAGGATGTGGAGACTGCTTGCAATATCCAAAGTCTTTTTTTTGCTACTTCTCAGCATTTTAACTTTTCAAGTTATGTAGAAACTGAAAGTCATGATTATAATATTGTTCAACAAAATCAAATTATGTACTGTAGTTGTGGAGTTCCCTAAAAATAGTAATTATGTGTATACTATCGTGTATACCACCTTGTTTTAATAAACATTAAAATTTTTATTTTTTAGAACAGTTATAGTGTATTTCTCAATGTGTTTCCCATGCTCTTTAAACTTTATCTCGCCACAAATAGGTCACTTTTAAATTTAGTAGTAAACTATATTTTCATCACACTGGGAAAACTACTTCATCAGACTTTAAAAAATCATCTGATATTTCGTAATCCATTAATTGTTTCTAAGTTAAACGCAATACGGCAGTACAATTAATTTTAGTGTAACATTCAGCTAATTGAACATCAACAAACTGTGTTTTGACCTAACCGGGAACTTCAGTTGTAACTTGTGTTTGTGTAAGTAATGTTTATGTCAGGAAAGGTGAGATGATCACTATTTGTTTTTGTCTTTTGAACTATTGAAAACAGAGTGATGACAAGTTTTTGTATCACCTTTGTCGGGGAAATAAATGTGCACTCGAGTTAGAGCCTAAATATCTCTGAGATGAATTATCCGATTTTGTTGAAACAAAAATTAATATAAGCTGGTTTAAATACATTTTACGTGGTGTCAATTAAAAAAATTTCCGTTTATTATAAAAATTTATATAGTTGAAAGATCCTAAAAAGTACTGGTTTTTAAGAAACTCTGCACTAAGACTGAAGTTTAAAATTTATTTGTAAACAAACCACTGAGCCAATCTTTCTGAAATGTTTATGGCTTATTGGTAGGTTTATTGTTAACATTTCCATGCATTTTAATCATTTTATTCACAATAGTTTTTATGCTGTTGTTAATTTTTAAAACGCATGCTAACATCGTTAATAAGACACTGACAATTTCGTTCAAAATACCATCATGTTTGCTATGACACAAGAAATAACACCAATATGACAGATTTATAATGCGAACAAAGGTTGTTTTTAAACAGATTTATATTTGTAGACAAAAATTTCTCCTGTGACTGGCAGCGGGCCGCCTGGTGTTTGTACGATATTTCCCAGCCGGGCGGGAGCACGTGCGAATCTGCGACGTTGCCGATGTGTACCTGGCTACCACACTGACATTGCTTAAGTATTCACTCACGGCAAACTAATGTGTAAATCATTATTTAGTTTACATAAATTTACTAACAAAATATTCACTAGTCATGAAACAAATACATTATAATAAGATATCTACAAATTAAAAAAACACCTTTGTTCACTGCGAACGCCTGTTCAGTGCGGCAAGCCTAGTCATCACTAACAGACGAGGAAGAATCGGCGACACCAATTTTGAATAATAACTTCTTTTAAAGTTTAATAGGCATTTCAAGTAAATTTTGTTGTAGTAATGAATGTAAAATGTAATGTAAATGTGACGATGTTTAATTAATATTTAATTAAAACACAATTAGTAACCCAGATGTGTCATTATATCATTACATATGAAATCCTTTAAAACAACTGTCCAACAAACAGCTATCTTCTACAGATGTTTAAAACTAACTTTATTTTCTATCAGTTAGTTTTTCAACTAACTAATAACTTCTATCAGTTACTTTTTAAACTAACTGAAGAGTAACTTCTATCAGTTGCTTTTTATGGGACTAACTTCCAACTTCTAACTAGTTAGAAATTTTGACTAACTTTCCCAACTATGCATTTTAGACCTACCACTTAGGGGCGGTTCACGAGTCACTGGTTATCCTTAGTTCGAGCGCAAAATCCAGTTATACCTTAGTGATTAATAAAAATAAAGCCAAACTTTAATTAAATTTTAATTAATAAATTTAGACAATAAATAACTTTGTGACATATTGACAACCCGAGATATAAATCTTTTAATAAAAACTGATTTCCTAAAAAGTCATTTTAAGATTGTTTTTTTCTCTTTTTTTTAGATATAGCCTCTGGATTGTTATTGAACATAATTAAATCTAAGGCTTACCTTACGATCCAATTTATTATATAGTGGAGACCTAGGTTTCTACATCGTAACGTTATCCATAGGTTAGCTAAACTTCTTGTTTGCCATCTCTTGCTTGAGATATTGTCGATTTGGTATAATTTGTACACACATTGATCACATATAAATATTTACAAAGACATAAATGGAAACAACATAGATGCATGGCCATGATCTTCATCTTTATCAAACCTAACCTCTGAAGTTGGGATGTGATGACTTTCGCTTCTAGCAGCATGGTCTTATCACTCCATAGAGTTATGTATTTTGTTGCAAACAGGTGTTTGATAATATTGTATTGTATTATTTATTTCTTATTTCAATTAATGAATCGAACATGATGTTAGCGGCGAAATTTTTTGGTCATTTAGTATGAGGGATGGGTCTGTTTTGGTAGCGTTATATATATGAAAATGTTCTATTGTATTTAGCTTGTTGCTTTTGGGGGCTTTATGCAAGATCTCTTAAGTTGGCATCTATTGAGGTGTATGAATGGTTTTCTGAAATTAGATGTTCGGAATAGGTTGATGAGCTGGCTGAGTTCTTTTTGGCTGAGTAATTTGCGGAAAAGTAAAAAAAGTCCTATTTTCACCCCCTCCCCCGACACTTAAAGCTTAAAGCTAGAGGTTAAAAAAAGGAATAATTTAGTATATTGAAGCGCTGTTGTATGTCTAATGGTTACAGAGAAAATTAAAAATACCCCCGTCGCAGCAAACCTGCATACTAAGCGAATTTCCATTTACCCGGCTTGATTTCTACTAATATATTCCCTATAAATTTTCAGATTTATTTCCTATTTAAATAACATTAATTTTAGTGAATAGTTAGGTTTG